GCTGTGGCACGCAATGGAGCTAGGTTGTGAGATTCATAAAAAATGGCCAAATTGAGGGCTATCAAGGTTGGAAAAACACTTGGAAAACGATAAAGTGATGGTTCCAATCTATTTTGGTGAAAAATTCGACCAAAATTAGGTCCAAACGATCGACGACGAAAGAGGGGTGGAGATGATTTATGTGAATGTTAAATTTTGGGATTGAGTTGGGGATGAGTAATTTGAGACAAATAAATGACCATTTTAGCCTTTCATTGTTAAAAGAAATTTAATGTGTTAATTTAAGGGTGTAAATTAAAATATATGAAACTAGAGATACAAACTTGCCATTTCGTCAAACTTTGGGTGGGAATATAATATATATAAAAAGTTAATAATAAATTTAGGCATTTTTTGTTTTTTTTTTTTAGGCCCCTTGGCTTAGATAAGAAATTATATACTTTTTTTATTTTTATAATATATTAAAAGAATTTATAAAAAATTTGGCCCTTTTCGGCCTTATTTTTTTGGGGGCCCTAGGCAGGTGCCTCACCTGCCTACCCCTTGAGCCGGCCCTAGGGGTTATTAATTATCAGTAACAGTGAAGGGTTATTATTCATCAACTTACGAATAATAAAAAAATGTGATGTAATTTAGAATATACAACCATGAGGAATGTGTGTTAACTGTTGATTTTCTGAATTGCATTTACAGTTTTAAATTAATACTCTTAAGTGATCTAATGAACCTGAAAATGTACATTTATGGAATCAAAATCAGCGAGAAGATAATGGTCTGTTTTACCTACTCAACATTCACCTCTATATATAGAGAACACAATTAATACTAAGTGAATATTTTTGTAGGTTTTGTGCTTGTTTTGTAGGTTTCATCTAGTAATGAAGAGGAATTTCTGTTTGGAAAGGTGAATTTATAGATAGTGTTTACTTAGCATTGTTAAAAAATGTGTAGAAATATTGTCGTTTTTCTCTAGCTACAATGTAAGAGTAAACAAAGTTTTTTGCTACATGAGTTTTATATTGACAAATTTGGGTACAGGCACCAGCTCCACCACTAGGTGAAGACCCCCACTGCTACTCCACCACCACTGGTGAGCCCACCCAAGGCAACTCCACCATCACCAGTGAGCCCACCCAAGTCCAATCCACCTCCACCAAAGTCCAATCCATCTCCACCACTGAGCCCACCCAATGCCACACCACCACCACCAGTGAGCCCACCCAAAACCACTCCACCGTCAGTCGACCTAAGACTATTCCACCAACAGTGGCCCACCACTGCCTCCAGTAAGGACAAAGAAAGGTAACAACATATGTACACAATAATAATACTCAGGAATAGACTTAAAATCGTAACTTTTTTCAGTCTTTTATTGATACTAGATACTTTGATTAATTTCTATTACTTTAAAAGACCCATAATCCTCTTGTTTGTTAATTTTAAGTTCATAAATGAATCAATAAAGTGTTAGAAAAATGCAGGAACTAGATTTAGGTTTATGAAGCTTGAGTGAAAACGTTTTGTAAAAGAAATTTAAATATATTTAATTTTAATTCATTATTAATTTATAACTGATATTTATTACTAATATGGGCTTACTTAACAAATTAGTCGGACTTGAATAACAACACTCTTACTGGAATCAAGTCCCTAGTTAGTTCAAGTAGTTTTGATGTTACTTTNAGTTGTGAAAGTACTCAAATTTCAACACGTACAAAAAATATTATCATATTGACTTTGTTCATATATATAGCGCTTCGTCTTGGGTTAATTGCCTAAAAAAATATTAAGTTTTTTCCTTTCTAGATCTTGTTCACAGAAATTGCCCCTATAATTCTTTTCTATTTACAGTAATAGCTAGGTAGAGTATGTTTAGTCTGGTCTCCTGAAAGAGATATTGATACTTAATCTCAATGTGTAGTGTGACCCTTTAATTCTTTTTATTCAGTTGAAGAAACAAACAACAGTACAAGCTACAGGCGCGGCTGCTAGTTTGATTGAGATCATACAGGGTTCAGGCTTCAAGTTACAGACACTGAATTTGAGTTTTGAGGATGAAGAGGAAGTTCTTGTCTAGATATTACGCGTCGATTTTTTAAAATTCAATCATGGAAAGGAGGAAAGTTATCTTTGATGTCCTTTTTTCCTCAAAACCTTGGTATTGGACTATTAGTTAGGCATATTCTTGAGAGAAACTGTATTTTCACTTACTGTTTCCATCAATGTTAAAAGTCATTGGTTGTTGACCTTATGCTTGAGATACTTCTCAAATTACAATATGGCGATCGCTGTGTGGTATAGTATGTGCGGTGATTATACCATTGCTATCGTAGTTTTATAGCGCACAGTTAAGTTCCAGTTCAAGTCCTTCTCTAGACTAGTATTTCAGCCATCGAATATGTCGAGAAAATACAATATTTCAACCTTCTTCCTGAATTCCCGTCTTGCTTCTTTTCATTCTGTGAACTAATGGTGTTGAAAACTATGTTAAGGCGTCAAAGAAGTAGTATATAAAAGTAAAGATTCCAAGTAAATGAGCTTGGGAAAAAAAAAAAAAAAAAAATTCTTGTAAACCATGAAATCCAGGCGTTATTTTAGTGTGTGCTGGGAAATGAGAAGTAAAGGGAGATAATTCAGGAGCCATGTTGTGGCATGCAATTAATTGAATACTGAATTTTTTAAGCGTACTGCAGCATAATCATTCTGAAGTTTTAGCTCAATCAAAGCTCCTGCCCATACTTGGGATGGGACATGGCCTCATCATGTCCCAAGAAGGTCCCTTTCCTGCCCATGCCTCGAACTCAAAGGAGCTTCATTTTGAATGAAAATGAAATAAAGTGACAGCAACATATAACCACTCATTCTTATGCAAAAATAGCTCTGCAAGAAGAAACATAGAAAGAAGATACAACCCTTAATTGAATGTAATTCAAATGTGTTCCACCTGCAATTTTTTTTTTTTTTTTTTTTTTTTTTTTAATGTGAAGTATGGTGTTGTAGACTTCTGGTTAAGTTTCTGATATTATATTATTACTATCTTCTTATCCCTTCCTGCAAAAAGGGTAGTAAATCAAGTCCTTGTTCTTCAGCATTGTATGCTTGTACATCAATCAATAATAACAAGAGGCAAGCCTGTAGCTTAGAGGATTAGAGCACGCGGCTACAAAATTGATTTGTAACACAAAGAAGCGAGATCGATACGTTATCTTAATCTACTTTTGGGAGTCTATGTTAGGATCTACTTGTTGAAATTATTGAAAACGGTTTTTTCTTGTTCCAATCGCTTGTCTTTACTATAAATTATTAGTTTTATATATTATTTCGTGATCTTTAATCGTTTGAAAAAAGGCAACAACACATTCCGTTTTCGTGATTTCCATTTACGTAATGAAGGATAAAGGTAAATTTTTGATAATATGTTCATCAGCTTACCACCATTCTATGCTGTAATGGTAAGAACAGAGTTCCCAGAAGCTTCAAAACAAGAAGGTTATGCCAAATCTATCACTAAAATTTGATTCTAATTTTTGTCCATGGGCATATGCCACTAGCTTTCTAGTACTTTTTTGTATCATAGTGAAAAAGTCAAGCTGTGGGGCAAAGCCTGGCCTCTCAGTCTCCCTCTGCTAATGCTACTGTTGAGATATTATTTCTAATTGGATACAGCCTTTGGATACTTAGAAAAATACTCCAAAATAAAGTTATTGAAGATGAAGTTGGATCTATGTTCAATATGGTGTTCCTTGTAAGTGTATAAATGCATACATTACAACGAAATTTTATTCATTAAAAAGAAAAGAAAACACACCAATCATTCAAAGTTGGTAATAATTTTCTTGACCTGTCATGAGAAAAGGATTCACATGCAACTTACCTGTAGAGGGCCCTCGGCCAACTGAGATTTAACATATTCTTCGTTGGACATAAATCCAGAAACATTTTCTTGCTAATTACTAATATGTCTCAAATCTTGAGATAATGCTGCAATTAGTACTAATAAAAGTTAAAAAAAAAAAAAAAGAAAAATAATAGGGTTTGTGATGACAGGCACTTTATCAAAAGAAAACCAGTGGGATTCCTTTTCCATCAAACTGGAGGACACAGTCCCAATTTTCATGTAGCCATTGTCTTGTCTGTTTCTCAGACAGACAGGAAAAAGATAGAGAACGAGATAGACTTCAACTGTTTGAATGATGTTCTCGAGGGTTGTCATTGGGATCTACATTAGTTGTGATGTAATGAGCTAGGCAAAGCTCTAGATTAGTGAATCTTGCTCATTGATTATTATTATTATTTTGACTACTGTTTATAACATGTGATGCCACATGTACAGAACTCAATGTATAGAAAAAAAAAATCCCACTTGCCCTGCTTAAATTGTTTTTATAACTTCAGTTCAGGAAACTTTCTGCAAGGATTATGATCATTTAGCAAGTTGAGCTGACCAAACAGTCAGTAATTGTCATTTTTCTGAAGGTATAAGTAATCTTATCATTGTCAATGGACATGGATTTCTATTCCCATTACCAGCAAAATCAAAGGGATAAGAGGGCAGATGCCCCCACTGGAGGCATTGTGGAGAGTTATTGTTGGCGAATGGCAAAGGCAGTAAGGCACAGGCAGGTGAGTCCAAATCCAAATAGTTTAACCCAACAAAAAATTTATCTAAAAAGAAGTGAAATGACCAAACCAGGAATTAACTTGTTCCAAGTTTTGGCAGACATGGCCTCGTGTGCTGGTTAATAAAAAGTATATTTGACATGTGAATAGATATACTAATTTATCAGACATGGTCAGGTTTTTGAACTGCTAGCCATAAGTTATGTGCTCAGTGATCTGGTGAAGCTGGCATTGTACATTTATTGAACCAAAGCCAGCTGGTAAATAAAAATCTCTTGAACTTTTACCTTTCCACCTCTCCACCTCTGTCTCTCTCTATATACCTCTGTCTCTCCCTTTATATAGTATAAGTTTGTGCTTGCTTCAAAGCGTCAACCACTGTCTAGCTCTTCTGTATTCTTGGGTTCCTTTCTTACCAAACAATGGCTTTCAGACCTCTGCTCCTTCTATTGGCCACTTTTCTTGTAGTTTCTGCAAGGGTATGCATCTTTGTCTCCCCTTTGAGTACTATTCACACATCACACTGAATGCATGTAATATTTTTTTTTTTTTAGAGTAATGCTAGTTTTATAAAGTTATATACAAAGAGGGCATATAAAGAAAATCTTTATCTTTAATTTTCATGATTTTTTTCTCTTTTTTCGTTTTTTCTTTGTTTTTTTATATCACTTTGCAACTCTTTTGTATGGATCTTTATAAGGATAACATTTTTTAATTTTTTAATGGCTAAATGTGTAATTTTGTGGTTTTTTTTTTGGGTAGGTTTCATCTAGCAATGAGGAGGAACTTCTGTTTGGAAAGGTAAATTCATGGACAATGTTTACTTAGCATTGCTAAAAACATGTGTAGAAATATTGTCATTTTTCTCTAGCTTCAATGTAACTATGTAAGAGTAAACAAAGTTGTTTGCTACTTCGCTACATGAGTTTTATATTGACAAGTTTGATTACAGGCACCAGCTCCACCACTAGTGAAGACACCTACTGCTACTCCACCACCACCGGTGAGCCCACCCAAGGCAACTCCACCACCGCTGGTGAAGCCGCCCAAGACTACTCCAACACCAGTGAGCCCACCAAAGTCCACACCGCCTCCACCAGTGAGCCCACCGCAGTCCACACCGCCACCACCAGTGAGCCCACCTAAGGCCACACCACCTCCACCAGTGAACCCACCTAAGGCCACACCACCTCCACCAGTGAACCCACCTAAGTCCACTCCACCTCCACCAGTGAGCCCACCCAAGACCACACCACCACCACCAGTGAGCCCACCCAAGACCACTCCACCACCACCAGTGAGCCCACCTAAAACTACTCCACCAAAAGTGAGCCCACCACTGCCTCCGGTGAGGACAAAGAAAGGTAACAACATATGTATACAATAAAAATACTCGGACTTAAAATACTCTTTTTAGTCTTTTGTTGACAATATATACTTTTTTGTTGTATTTTTGGGCAGATTGCCTTCCATTATGTGGAGAGAGGTGCAAATTACATTCCAGGAAGAATCTGTGTGTTAGAGCTTGTGTTACATGCTGTGACAGGTGCAAATGTGTTCCACCAGGAACTTATGGCAACAGAGAGCTTTGTGGCAAGTGCTACACTGATATGACCACTAGAAACAACAAACCCAAATGCCCTTGAAGATTTTTAATTAAAGTTAAAAATCTGAGTCCTGGCTTCATGTTAGCTAGAGTGTGCAATAATTTTATGTCTCTACAAGAAAAAAAAAAAAAAAATTACCAGTTCATGTTTTCTATTGTGTCTACTGAAATTTCCTGTGTAATGTACTACCCCAGATAAATAATATATATTAATGTAGCTAAGTTGCATTAAAATATTGTTGTAATGTCTCGTGAGAGAAATGTAGCTTTCAGTCAGTAAACTTGATTATTGTACTAGCAGATCCATGCCAACAAGCAAGTGACAATTTTAAAAGCTTTCAGCGGCGGCCCCAATCAGCACGAATAAGTAATAAATGAAAATGAGAACATGGAGCCTAGAGGTTTCATTATAACCAACTGTGGCTCCACAATTTCCTGATATAATGGTAATGGTGATAATCATTATGATCCGCATTCAGGATCTCTGTTTTAAATTAAGTTAAAAAATTTACTCAAAAGCTATAAATTACCCTAAGTGATGTGTGAATCTTCGTAACCAAACAATAGTCTATGTTGATGGGTCAGTTTAATTTGTTCAAGAATTTATTGCCACTCATTCTGGTTGTTGAAACAAATAACTACAACCACAGAAACACTACACTGGTGCCAACTAGCTGGGGTCCAAAGCTACGGTCAAATGAAATGAAGAGTACGAAAATATCTTTCAATTCGCCTGAGCCTCCTAGGTAAGTAAGACTTCTTTATTTACCTAACCACTCCAAATATTGCAGAGTTTTTTCGTATATATAGTTTCATAAACTTTTTTTATTTTGTAAATCAGGATTTTGATGCCGAAATTAAAATTGAGTGTCACAAAAAGATTTAAGTTTAACAGGTAGTTGGGATAGAGAGTTATTAGAATAAGACATTTGATTCTAGCATTGGCCCATGGAGAATGGGCAGTGGGTATCTGTTTGTCTCATTGTAATTTAAGAACTGGGCCAAAGCTTGTACTCAACAATCAATATGCATGCATGCAGTCTTGATCACCATACTGCTGTTGAGATACTGTTCATTACCACAACAAATCATGCCCCTAATTGAATCTTATCACCTATATATTCGTGCTCGCTTCTATTAATTAGATCTCTTCAAAGGTTTATTACTTTAGTACAGTCTGCAACTTGATCTCCTCATATCATTCAGTGAAGCTACCAATAAAATGTCTTAGATCCGAAGTATTGAAAGAGAGAATGTTGTGTGTGGAGTAATTAACTTTTAATTAAGAGATTATGGACTGCTATCTATAACTCAAGCTGCTTCTGCATTGGCTGCAGAGTCACTTATCAATTGCTAGCTCTTGAGATCAACATTTTTGGCTCAATGTCTTTCAAAATTTTGCTGCTTTCGTTGGCTGCATTTCTTTCAGTCAATGCTACAAGACTAATAACCTCTCATTTCTGCTCTGCATTTGCTAATAAATATATGGATATGATTAATTTGAACCTAATAGGTTTCATCAAAATAAGATGTTGAGAAAGTTGGCGCACCTCTGAAGCCAATCCCAGAGGTCCTCATACATGCAATATATATGTGTTTATACTAAGCTGTTGTTTATCTTGTTTGCCTGGAGCATTGGTCTCCTATTATATGCGTAGATATCATATTTTCTGTTTACTTAGGTTTCATCCAAATCCGTGAAGAAACCCATCGAAACCAGGTACATCACCGAAATAACCAAAAGACAGTACATCACCAGGAGGATATTCACCGTTCAAAACTCCTTCAGCATCAGGAGACTTGGAACCCAGTCTCCGATCAGGTGCAAGACTCACCAGCTCCAGCTGGTGAAGGAGGAGAAGCACCCCCAGAGAAGGCATGTTAAAATCCTTGAGCATAATTTATAAGTGCTCTGGTTGCTCAATAGCAGTTAATCTGATCTGGTGTAATACCAAATTAAATTCAATGTCTTAAAATTAATATTGTAGGGTTAATAAATTAATTATCAGTAGTGTTCTAATTAGAAGAGCTTAAGGTATATGGATGTGATAACGTGGAGATCTTTGCTTCAGAATTATTGAGCATCCAAGGGATTGAAATCTCTTAAAACATTATGTTATACGTTGAAATGTATAGTATTATTCCTAATTGAAATAATTTTTCTTACTGGATAACACTTTCATCCTTGTCATTATGGATAAAAGTAAGTCTCCAAATATCTCTAATCTCACCATATAAAGAGCTACACAACTAAACTAATCATCTCTTCTTTTTGGTTTGGTTGATTATTTTCACAGGATGCATTCCCCAGCTTGGAAGAACTAGAGTTATGTGAATTGCCCAGGTTGTTGCATCTATGGAGAGGAAATTCTCAGCCTTGCAATACTTTTCAAAATCTCAAGACTCTGAAAGTATCAGAATGTGGCAATTTAGAAAATTCATGGTCATCGTTATCTTTTCCAGAATTTGGAGACTTTGCGAGTTTCAAAGTGTGATGGATTGAGATATTTACTGACCCCCTTTAAAGATAAAACTCTGGATCGAACTTGCAAGAATGAATGTTTCTGATTGCAAAATGATGGAGGAGATTATAACACATTTTCAACAGATTGGATTGTTTGGAACTTCACTGTTTGTCCAGCCTTAAAAGCTTTTGTTGTGGGGATTATACTCTTGCATTCCCATCCTTGAAAAACGTAATTGTCAGACAATGCTTGAAGATGGAGACTTTTTGTCATGGAGTTTTAAGCACACCAAAGCTACAAAAACTACAATTAACAGAAGGAGAGAATGACGTAGACGAATATTGGGAAGCAACCTTAATTTCACCATACAACATCTGTATAAAAACAATATGGTATCTATTGACTCACCAACATATGTGATGCTTTTCCACTGTGATTTTTGTATTGAATTGCTTGAATCATGTTTTCTCTTTATCTCTGAATCCAATATGGTATGCTTTATAATTACTGATTATAGACAGTTCCAAGAAGATTGAGGACATCCTTCGTGCGCAAATTGGAATAAGACTAGTTCTTCAAATGGATTCTGATACAACATGGCTCCATTTCCTCCCCGTGAAGAGGGACTTTGTTTCTTCTATCTTAACTGAAATTATCTTCATCTTTGGTTGGAGGTGGAGTGCCCTCTGTTTACACGTTTGCCCTTTTGTTGTTAATTTGTTGGATTTGTTTTATGTAATCAAATTTCTCCCAAGTTGCCAAACCCTTTGGGCAAACAAGACGATACAACTTAACCACCTGAAAAATGCTGTTTGTTAATTACTGTGATGATGATCTGCTCTTTTGAGCATTGAGTTTTTTGTGTGCTTTCACATTTTCAAAGTGTTCATCTCAGTATAATTTTAAGAATGAGTTCTAAGATTGTCAGAATTATGTGTTTGCAAAATGTTTTTTCAGTGATGTAAACATATATATCATATTTTGATTTCAAGAATTTAAAGAAACATTCAGAAGTGTAATCAATAACAGTGAGTTTTTATATATCCTACACCCAGTTTTATCTATAAAAAATAAAGCAAAACAGAGCTCCTCTGTTTCCATTCCCCTAATTTCTGTCAAACTTTCATTGAACTTTCATCAGGCAAGAGGAATTTTGGTTTCCAATTGGATTTTTCTACTTTCTGTGTTGTTAGAATATAATGGCTTTTAAGTGTATACTTATAATATCAGTCAGTAATTTTTTTTTCTAAAAACTAGAAATATATATATATATATCGTTTGATTCTTCTTCTTTGAATGAGAAGCGGGTGGTGGGCAGGCGGCCACACAACATGACAGCGACAAGACACATTCTTTATTGCTCCGTAGAAAAAACGATGCCCAACACTGCAAGCTGTTGTTATTGTGTGGTTGGACATGAAGTTTTGCTTGATTAATTGAATCTACTTGACTTTATTTTTAGTTGTTTTATACTCAATATTGCTCGCTCTCTCTCAAAACTATTTTTTCCATTTCCATACTAAAGTCTTGGTCTTCCTTTCCTTTCAAAAAAAAAAAATCTACGGAAAAATCTACCCAAACTCTGTTTTATCAATTTTTGTTGCTTATTATTGCTCACAAAGCAGAGAAACAAACACTGAATCTGCTCTTGAATACTTCTCTTACTCTCAGATTAAGCCATTAAACTGCACTTGTTTTACTCTCATCTTCTTCTGCGTTCTTCAATTCTCTGTGCTTTATATTCAACCATAATTTACTTTAAAAAAAAAGGATAATATCCAGCATCATTCTCATTTTCTGATTCTGATAGCAGAGATCTGTTTGGTTGAAGCTAAGGTTCTGTTTACGGAGCTTTCCTTGTAAGTATTTTGCTTATTAACTCTGTTTTTTTTTCTCACTTTTATCTTATATCCAGTGTATTCCTTTAAGATGATTAGCAGTAGTTAGAGTGTCGTGTTTGCGCCTCATTCACTGGCTAAATAAGGTTTAAGATAGTAGAAACAAGATATATAATTACTCAATTCAATGTTGCATTGCAAGTTATCTATCCCACTTAGTTTAAGTACAACCCATTGGACTAATATAAACCGGAAAATCTATCACATGGATCAATAATGGGTTTTAATTCCAGCGTTGTTTTGTTATAGAAACACCAGATTTATATAAATTAACCTTTGATTTCACTTTTTTTTTTAAGAAGAGTACTGGAATATCTAAATATGTAATTAATTAAAGATTACCCTATTTTTATTAATATTAATTTCTTATTTGCACATAATAATCATAAATCATTGTATCCGAAATATCAAATTCCTAATACTGCATATAATTTTCCAATACAACAATACCAAAAACATTAGATTTAGCGCTTGGAATGGTTATAAATTTTTTTTCAGCTTGAAATTGATAGAAAAAAAATATATTAATAGATGTATGGGATTAATAACCACATGTCTGTTTGATTCTTACTCGCAGGTGCACTTGTCTAGCAAAGATCTGTTTGCTTAAAGCTAGATTCTGTTTACCCAACTTTCCTGTAAGTATTTTGTTTAGTACGTAACTCTGTTTCTTTTTCTTCCTTTCCTATCAACCGTTTCTCACTTTTTAGTTTTTTCTTTATATCCAGTATTCATAAACATCTCACAAGAAATAGGCAATGGATCAAGAAATAGCTGTGGCTGCTAGCGCTGAAGTTGTAAAAAACGCTACATCAGATGTATATGTTTTGCTTAAACAACAGATCTCTTATGTTTTCAAGTACCAGAACTACATCAACGACCTCAAGAATCAAGTTCAGGAGATCAGATATAAAAGAGAAATGGTGCAGAGACCTGTAGAGTCTGCTGAGAGACGGGGGGAAGAGATTTATGGAGTTGTTACAAAATGGTTGAGTGACGTGGATGAGTTCACTGAAGGGGTAGCAAAATCCATCATTGAGGATGAAGATAAAGCAAACAAGGGCGGCTGTTTCAAATTGGGGTCATGTCCTAATTTGATTCAACGTTACAAGCTGGGCAAAAAAGCAATGAAGGCCAAAATGGATGGCATCGATCTCTGCGAAAAGGGGGACTTCAATAGTGTTTCTTACCGTCCTGCGCTACAGAGGATAGAATCCATGTATGTTAGAGGCTTCGAGGCCTTTGATTCTAGAATGCAAGTTTTGCAGGAAATTATGGACACATTGAAGGATGCTAATGTTAACATGATTGGGGTGCATGGGATGGGAGGTGTGGGCAAAACCACACTGGTCAGAAAAATAGCTATGCTGGCCAAGGAAAACAAGTTATTTGATGAGGTGGCCATGGCTGAGGTAGGACAAACCCCAGACTGCAAAAAAGTTCAAGAAAAAATTGCTATTGATTTAGGCCTGGAATTTGGACAGGAGAGTGAATATCAGAGACGTGGTTTACTACGGAATAGGATAAAGAAGGAGAAGAATGTACTTGTAATATTTGATAATATTTGGACGAAAGTCGACTTGGATGCAATTGGAATTCCTTTCGGGGGAGGTGGGAAACAAGGAAAAGATGACAAGGTGAGGGGATGCACGGTATTGCTAACTTCTAGAAATCTGGATGTATTAAACAAAGATATGAACACTCAGAAGAACATCCTTGTTCTTCCTTTATCTGATGGAGACTCATGGAATTTGTTTGGGAAGATTGTGGGTGATTTGGCAGAAAACCCTGATTTTCATTATGTAGCAGTTCAGATAGTTACCAAATGTGCAGGTTTACCGGTTGCTATTTCCACAATTGCGCATGCATTGAAAAATGAGAGTCTTAACGCTTGGGAAGATACCTTGGCTCAACTAAAAAGGTCTAATCCAAGATGCCTTCTGGATATGGAAGAAACTTTGTACTCTACCATAGAACTGAGTTACAATTTTTTGAAAAATGAGGAAGCAAAAACATTGTTTCTTCTTTGCGCTCTACAAAATGGAGGCACTAGAATATCCATTGGTGACTTATTCAAATATAGTATGGGTTGGAGTCTGTTTGGAGATGGCTTTACATTAGAAGAAGGAAGGAATAGATTGCGTAGGTTGATAGATCATCTGAAAGCTCGTTGTTTATTGTTGGATGACGATGGCGATGACGACATAGTTAAAATGCATGACATTATTCATGCTATTGCTATATCGATTGCAGCAACAGATAAGTTAATGTTTAGTATTCAAAATGTCACCGGCTTGAAGGAAGTACTGGAGGAGAAAAAAGATTCAAATGCTCTATCTTTGCAGTATATAGATATTTATGATGAGCTTCCTGAAAAGTTGGAATGTCCTCAACTCAAGTTGTTTTTCCTATATATGAGAAACAAAAATCTACATATCCCAGATACTTTTTTCGAAGGAATGAGAGAATTGAAAGTTTTGGATTTGACCACAATACAATTCTTGTCATTACCTTCATCACTTGATTGCCTCAAGAAAATTCGAACATTGTGTTTGGATGGGTGCCAGCTAGGAGATGTAGCAATAGTTGGAGAGTTAAAGACATTAGAGATCCTTAGCTTTCAACAATCTGATATTGAACAGTTGCCTGGAGAAATCAGACAGTTGACTCGGTTGAAGTTGTTAGATTTGAGCCATTGTTTAAACCTTAGACAGATTGCACCAAATGTCATCTCCTGCTTGTCTCAATTAGAAGAGCTATATATGGGCAATAGCTTTGTTCAATGGGAGGTTGAAGGAGTCGATAATCAAGGACGAAGAAATGCTAGTCTTGGAGAGTTAAAGCAGTTGTCTAACCTAACAGCTTTACATCTTCATATTCAGAATGCTGGAGTTATGCCACGAGACTTGTTCTTTAAGAAGTTGAAAAGTTATAAGATATTTATAGGAGAAAAATGGAAGTGGTCCAATAAATATGACCTTTCAACTTCAAGAATGCTCAAACTCAAGATCAACAATAGTACTTGTTTGGGGCTCGGGATTAAAGCTTTGTTGAAGATGACTGAAGATCTTTCTCTAGAGGAAATGAATGGTGTTAGAAATGTTCTTTATGAACTCGATATGGATGGTTTTCCACATTTGAAGCATCTGCTTGTAAAAGATTGTCTCGAGCTTTTATATATCATTAAGTCAGTTGCCTGGAATCTAGCCTTTCCCAAATTGGAGTCCTTGATCCTTTGTAATCTGATTAATTTGGAGAAGATATGTCATGACCAACTCAATGCAGGGTCGTTCAGCAAATTAAGGATAATGAAAATAGAAAAATGTGATAGATTGGAGTATCTCTTTGCATCCTCAGTGGCAAAAAACCTTACTCAGCTACAAAAAATTGAAGTGAATGATTGTAAGAACCTAAAAGAGATTTTTGGTGAAGAAAGTAAAGACCATGGTGGTGAAATTGAAACAAATGATAAGATTGACTTCAATCAATTGTGTTCTCTAACACTACAACGTCTACCACAATTCATAAAGTTTGGTTGTGACATGAAGGTATGTTTTGTATTTTTCATCTTTTATATTATTTTGATGTAAAAAGGAGTTTTCTTATTAGTTTATAAGTTATTTTTACGAACAAGGTTAATTTCCACAGGTCGTCTTTCCAAGATTGGAGAACTTGAAACTGTGCTCAATTAATATTGAGAATACATGGCTTGATCAACCTCTGGGAATGTCTTCTTATAGTCAATGCTTAAAAAGCTTAACCGTGGAGGAGTGTCATGGCTTGAAATTTTTGTTTTCATCCTCTATGGTCAAAAGTCTTAACCAACTCCATAAACTTGTGATAGGCAATTGTAAGTCAATGGAAGTAATAATCGACTCAAAAGGGGAAGAGGGAGAAGAAAGGATAATTGATATGAGCTTTCCTAAACTATTCTACATGAAGCTTGAAGTTCTGCCAAAACTTGTGACTTTTGGCATTGGGAATTCAATCGAATTCCCGTCTTTAAATGAACTTCATATTGATGGTTGCACTAATTTGAAGACATTCTTTTGCAAATCTTTTCATCCAGGCACGGTGAGAGAAGAACCTGAAGAAGAACTGAACTTGGAGAACTACTTTATTGATATAAACCCTCTTTTTGATGAAAAGGTGATTTATCTTTATATTAAAAAATTATGTTGCCTATTGCTTTCAAAACGTTTTTCTCGATTTTGAGAGCAGATCAACCTTACACAATATTTGGAAATCTTTCTCATCGTAAGATTGTGGGTCTTTTATACAAAAATATTGACATCATGGATTGTTTGCTACAGGTTGTTTTTCCAAGCTTGGAGGTGATGATACTATTACACTTGGATAACTTGCAATTGATATGGCATAACCAACAACTCCATGTGGAATCCTTTTGCAAACTAAAAGAAGTGAGAGTCGAATTCTGTGAAAAGTTACAGAATATTATTCCATCTAATTCTCACGGACTTCTCACCTTTCACAATCTAGAGAGATTGACGATTGAGAATTGTTGGAGTATGAAAAGTCTCTTTCCAGTTACTATAGCTACTAGTCTCGTGCAACTTAATGACCTTTGGTTATTCTCCTGTGGGTTGGAGAAAATCGTTTCTGTGGAGGAAGTTAACGAGGCCCCTAGATTTTTGTTTCCACAATTAACAAACTTTAAGCTCGATAATTTACCGGAACTCAAATGTTTCTACCCAGGGTTCCATATGATAGAGTGCCCGATGCTAAAAGTTGTGGCTGTGTATGGTTGCAAGAAGATAAAAATATATGCTTCAGAATTTCCTAGCTTCCAAAAGAAAGACGATGGGGAAAGCCAACCTGCCATTTTTCTGTTAGAAAAGGTATGATTTCAATTTCATCCATACTCACTAAAAAATGCAACATGTTTGTGATCATTCAGATTAATCTGATCATCGCTTAATCCAATTATATTTTTGCACAAATACTATGGGATGGCCAATTTTCCATTTTACATAATATAACATAAATCTTTTTATTTGGTGTTGCACTTTTTAGTATGATATAGTACCCCAAATGAAAATTAAGATTTAAACTAAGCATCAGTCAACTTCTGTTTATTCTTAAGGACATTAATGTTTCTGTTGCAAATGAAAATAAACTAAGAAGCACTTTTCCTTTTGTTTGGTTATAATAAATTTGTTTTTCTCTTTAAATCCATCAAGTTGATGTATAATAATCAACTAAGTTCTGAGATATTATTCATTTTGCTGATTAAAACTTGTTGTTTATTTATTTAATTATTTGAAATATATAGATTACATAATCAACAGGAGAAATTTTAATGATAATATCAGTCGCACACATCATAAACCAAATTCTTACTTCCTACATTAAAGCTTGGCTCGTAAAAGTAGATAAGACCTTTTGCCTTGTACATTTCCATTTATATTATTTCCAAATTAAAGATCTGTTTATATATTATTGTTATGTTTAAATTGAACTCAATCCTAACTAATTCCACTAACAAACACCCTAGCACATGAATTAAATAGAAAAGAAACCAAGAACACCAAGCTTTTACCGTGGTTCACTTATTCCAATGGAATAAGCTACATCCATGTTGAGCTCCAAGTAATGTGGGGCTCTTTGCACTATAAGGATCAAGATCGTACAACTTACAAACCAATCAACACAAAATACCTTAATCCCTCACTTGCAAGAATAAACCCTCAAATCAACCCGTAATCGTAAACCCTAAAGCATACCTATACACAGTATCTCTACTCGAAGAAAATCCCTATTCTTCTACCCAAAATTTACACCAATTGTGACGCAATTACAAGATTTGAGAAAGAACCCTAAAAAACTGAAGAACCTTAGCAGAGCTTGATATTGCGAGAGAGGAAGCGTGTTATTCTACTGTGCAAATCTCCAAATATGCAACCTTATATAGTTTGACTTGTTGCACTGCTAAAAGCTGTCGAATCATGCTGGAATCAATGGCTAAGATTACTCACTTAAGTGAACTCCAAAATGGCAATGTATAGACAATATCAAAACGTCATCATTTTAAAGCTTCACTTAACAATTGTTCTACTTACTTATAATTAGTTGTACTACTAATTAATGATACTAACAGCTTCTTAAAAGTATATAACATGTGACACCTCTACCATATATAAAAATCTTAGTATTTATCTTTGTGTACCGGTGAACTTGTTGATGAGTGAACCCTAACATCAACTTATTTGCTTGTTCATTGAGTTTCAGGTCATACCAAATTTGGAGGTGTTGGGTTTAGACGCACATGATTTCAGATTGACATTCCTCCATAGTGATTTGGCTGAGAGCTTTGGCAAACTTAAACGACTTTCGCTGGGTTACTTTGATGATGAATCTGTTGCTTCTTTGTTTAGTTTCCTTCAAAGGTTAGATTGTTTGGAATCACTTTGTTTTTGTGTTAATAGTTTCAAAGAGCTATTCCCCTATGAGCAAGGACATATATGGAAACAAGATTTACGAGGGGACACATTTCTTCAAAATCTTCAAACTCTACAAGTAATTAGATGCCATTGTTTGACAATTATAATGCCATCTGCAATGTCTTTCAAAAATCTTACAACTTTGGACACTTGGAGCTGCGATGGACTAGTCAACGTACTTGCTTGCTCAGCAGCCAGAACTCTTGTCAATCTCACAACTATGAGAATAAGAGACTGCAAGTTAGTGATAGAGGTTATAGCAAACGAAGGAGACAGAGAAGAAGAGATTGTTTTTGGCAAATTGAAAGTTTTGGAGCTTTACCGTTTATCAAGCCTCACTTTGTTCTGCTTAGCCAATTATTCCTTCAAGTTCCCTTGTTTGGAGCAAGTTATTGTGAGTGAATGCCCAAAATTAAGGATCTTCTCTCAAGGAGTCTTAAGCACACCTTTGCTAAAGAGAGTACAATTGACAGGAAAAGATGACAGCGAATATTTTTGGAAGGAGGATCTCAATTCCACTATCCAGCAAATGTTTACAGATATGGTATTTATTCTTTAAAAAAATCATTTTCTTTCCTTTTACAACATTGCTATATATATATATATATATATATTGTACAAATATTACTACTAATATATATGATGATTTGTAATACTATTTATGATATTGTTTATATTATAATTTTGAATTAATGATAGAGATTATTGCAACAGCGCTAAAATCTTGACTACAAGAGCTATTATCTTTTATAGACTAGGCTGAAAAGTTGTCAAACTCCTATTTCAATTAAAATTTTATAATTCTAGGATTCCCCGAATCTCAATCTATTGATGGCATATACAAATCAATTACATGCTAAGCAAGTTTGAAAAGCGTACATTGATACTTGTTCAAAATTTTCGCTAAGTTGTTTTTGAACAAGTATTTTGTGTTTTGATTTAGGATCTAGTTTTTCTCAATCTGCTCTATAAGGGTCATTATGCCTTGGTTAAATTTTTATGAGAACTACTTGCAACTTGGACCATGCACATTTTTTTTCTTACACAGTTTCAAAGTAGAATACAAAGGCGAAACTAAATGATATCTGTTGTGCAAAATTGCATGAAAAAAGATTAGTATAATATGATTTATAATTCTGTACTATTTTTTATTTTTATTTTTTCATTTTGTTGTTATTATATATTCACAGCTATGAAGTGACTATTTTATTTGGTTCCAGTTTAATAAGTAGCAGCATAAGATTTCAAATCGTTCCATAGTTTTTTTATGTCCAACTATTAGGTGCTCTTATCATAGAGGGCACATATTAAAACTATAAAGAAGTACAAAATGTTGTTACATTTATGTATTAGAATTTTGTTTTTGTTTTTTAGTTTTTAATCTTTTTACTGAAGGACAACTTTGGATTCCGATGGATGTAACTACTTATGTTTTATAATAATAGAACAGGGATATCTTTTTTTTAAAAAAAAAAAAAATTGACAGTAAATTTGTTAATTATGAGTTAATACATTCAATATTAATATTTCATTGGCATTCATATATAAAAATTTATTTTGTTAAATTTAAAATACTTTTCTACGTTGTAGTCTTTCAAAATTCAAAATATTGATTGTACCATGTTTTAACCTAATATTTTGGATTTTACAGATTGGTTTCCGCAACCTAGAATATTTGAAACTCTCTGAATTCCCCACATTAAAGGAAAAAATATGGAACGGCCGATTGCCAGTGGGTTTATTCTGCAATGTAAAGTGGCTAGTATTGGATGAGGTTTCTGATATGTCAAGTTCTTTTCCCTCCAATGTATTGTACGATTTAAAAAATCTGGAGACGTTGGAGGTAAGGAATTGCCATTCTTTAAAAGATTTATTTGATATTGAAGGACAGACATTGAAGAACAATGAGGAAGAAAATTTGGGCTTCAATAACCTGAAATCGTTGAAAGTTCACAATTGTGGCAGCTTGAGATATTTATTTACTCCTTCTATAATCTTGGGCCTTGATAAGCTCCAAGAGATTGAAGTAAAAAATTGTGGTTTGATAGAAGAAATCATTAAGAAGGACGAAGAACAGAAGGCAGACATTGATAAAATTATCATCCCTCATCTAAAGTCCATTGTTCTTGAGTTATTGCCTGATTTGGCAAACTTCTATTCAGTCTCTAATGATCTAGAATGTCCTTCCTTGAAAAGTATTACTATAGCCAACTGTCCGAAGATGGAGTCGTTTGTTTTCATCGATTTGAAGGAGAAGAACCGTTCTGATTATACGTCACATCTTTTCAGCGAAAAGGTTGGGTTTTCTTAAATAATTTTCTCATATTTTGCAAGATGCATTTTTATTTCAAGAATTTTATCCTTGCAATTATAACATCCTTTAAAAGTAACCAATGTTACGTTATTATCATAAATTACTCCAACCAGAAGAAATTTTCGTTTTATGCATAGATGACAAAAGTTGGGTATTAGCTAGTTTTATCATCTAGCTTCGTGCTTTCTAAGATGGGAAAATACCTTTTTATCTTTTTAATTTTGATATCATGTCCAACAATCTTAGTTTGAAACTATGATCTTTGCATTTAATTATTTTAATGTAAAACTCTATGTTCTCTAAGACGTCAAAATATTGGTGTTCTGTTCTTTTTCCGTACAAACCTCAAGATTTGATTTGGTTTGACAGCTGTTCAACCTGACTAAACACTTTTTATTCTGAGTCATATATAAATGCCCCAATATTTACATGATCGATCAAATGTTTGCTACAGGTTGCTTTCCCAAACTTGGAGGTGATGGTACTCTTACACTTGGATAACTTGCAATTGATATGGCACAACCAACAATTCCATGCGGAATCCTTTCGTGAACTAAAAGAAGTGAGAGTTGAATTCTGTGAAAAGTTAAAGACTATTGTACCATCTAATTCTCACGGACTTCTCACCTTTCACAATATAGAGAGATTTACTATTACGAATTGTTGGAGTATGAAAAGTCTCTTTCCAGTTTCTATAGCTACTGGTCTCATGCAACTTAAAATGCTATACATAATTTCTTGTGGACTAGAGGAAATTGTTTCCAAGGAGGAAGTTAAAAGGGCCCCTAGATTTTTGTTTCCACAATTAACGTACATCCAGCTTGATAATTTACCGGAACTGAAATGGTTCTACTCGGGGTTGCATACAATAGATTGGCCGATGCTAAATGGTTTGGCTGTGAAGGGTTGCAAGAAGATAAATATATATGCTTCAGAATTTCCTATCTTCCAAAGGAAAGATGATGGGGAAAGCCAACCTGCCATTTTTATGTTAGAAAAGGTATTATGATTTCAGTTTCATCCATACTCACTTAAAAATGCAACATGTTTATGATTGTTCAAATTAATCTGATCATCGCTTATTCTGATTATATATGTGCACAAATACTATGGGATTGTCAATTTTCCATTTATGGTGTATAACATAAATACTTTTATTTGGTTTTGCACTTTTTAGTATGATATAGTACCCCAAATGAAAATTAAGATTTAAACTAAGGGTCAATCAATTTCAGTTTCCAATTCATAAGGACATTAATGTTTCTGTTGCAAATGAAAATGAACTAAAAAGCACTTTCCTTTTGCTTAGTTACAATAAATTCTTTTTTCTCTTTAAATCCATCGAGTTGATGTGTATAATAATCAACTAAATGTTTCAACTTTGAGATATTATTCATTTTGTTGAATAAAAATTGTTGTTCATTTATGTAATTCCTGTTTAAAGTGTATATTAACGTTGTAACATATTTATTTATTTATTTATTTGAAATATATTAATAACATAATCATTTGGAGAAATTTTGTTGGTAATATCAACCGCACACATCATAAACCAAATTCTTATTTCCTGCATTAAAATTTGGCTCATAAAAGTAGAAAAGACCTCTTGCCTTGTACATTTCCATTTACATTATTTCCAAATTAAAGATCTGGTTATATATGGTTCTACTTGCTTATAATTAGTTGTACTACTATTTAATGATTGTAAAGGCAGTTTAGAGTGAAGGTTTGGTGATCTAAGAATTTAATAAAGAGGAAAACAAGGAAGAAATAGCAACTATTTTTCATTGATTGTTTTCAAGTACAGGGGACGTTCTTTTATATTGTAAATGACTGAACAAAAATGGAAGAAGATCTCAACCATTGAGCTGTAATAGAAAAACAAAAAATTCTCGACTGCCATTGATTTTGCTTGGAAGTAAATCAACTTGTTCAGCAAGTTGACCAACTTGCATAACAACCTTCAACAACTTGATCAACTTGCCTAACTACCTTATGCCACTTGACTTGCAACTTGATTTTGGGCGGGAAACATAACAAACTTTTGCAGTTTTAGTTCGTTAGAAAGTACCAGTCATTAGCAGTCCAGAATCCAGCATTTGTTTGTTGTTTGAGTGCAGCTTGCATTCTCAATAATGATACTGATTGCTTCTTAAGTATATAACTTGTGACACCTGTACCATATATATGAAAAAATCGTAGCCTTTTTCTGTGTATATCAGTGAACTTGTTGATGAGTGAATGCTAACACCTACTTATTTGCTTGTTCATCAATTCTTAGGTCATACCGAATTTGGAAGAGTTGGGTTTAGATGCACATGACTTCAAATTGACATTCCTCCACTGTGATCTAGCTGAGAGCTTTGGCAAACTTAAACTACTTGTGTTGTCTAACTTTGATGATGAATATGTTGCTTCTCTGTTCGGTTTCCTTCAAAGGTTAAATTGTTTGGAAACACTTTGTTTTTGTGTTAATAGTTTCAAAGAGCTATTCCCCTATGAGCAAGGACATATATGGAAACAAGATTTACGAGGGGACACATTTCTTCAAAATCTTCAAACTCTACAAGTAATTAGATGCCATTGTTTGACAATTATAATGCCATCTGCAATGTCTTTCAAAAATCTTACTACTCTGGACACTTGGAGCTGCAATGGACTAGTCAGCATACTTGCATACTCAGCAGCCAAAGCTCTTGTCAATCTCACAAAAATGACAATAAGAGACTGCAAGTTAGTGACAGAGGTAATAGCAAACGAGGGAGACAGAGAAGAGGAGATTGTTTTTGGCCAACTGAAAGTTTTGGAGCTTCACCGTTTATCAAGCCTCACATTCTTCTGCTCAACCAATTATTCCTTTAAATTCCCTTGTTTGGAGCAAGTTATTGTTTCGCAATGCCCAAAATTAAAGATCTTCTCTCAGGGAGTCTTAAGCACACCTTTGCTAAAGAGAGTACAATTGATGAAAAAAGATGACAGCGAATATTTTTGGAAGGAGGATCTCAATTCCACTATCCAGCAAATGTTTACAAATATGGTATTTATTCTTTAACAAAATCATTTTCTTTCCTTTTACAACATTGT